CGTATCGAGTCAAGCTCGATCCCCCCCCTAAATCATGGACCAAGCGCTCTGTGTTGTCAACTGTAGCTCGCACCTTCGATCCTAATGGTTGGATTACTCCGGTCATCTTTTTGGCTAAGTGTTTCCTTCAAAAACTCTGGATATCCGGGTTGGGCTGGGACGATCCTATAAGCGGTGCTCTCTTGCGAGAGTGGCTCTCAATTGTGTCCTCCCTTCCAGACATCGACCGGGTCTCCATGTCAAGGTGCTTCCTCCCTCCAGGGAAATGCAGGGTTACCCTGCACGGATTTTGCGACGCCTTTGAGAAGGGTTATGCTGCTGTTGTATATTTGCGGACGGTGAGCTCTTCTGGCCATACTTCCGTCCATCTCGTACTTGCTAAAAGCAAAGTGGCTCCCATTAGGTCCCGCTTAACTATTCCTAAGTTGGAACTGTCTGGAGCTGCTCTTCTCACGCGACTGCTCAACCACGTTCACTCCTCCTTGAAGTCGGTAATCGACATTACGGACGTCTACGCTTGGTCGGACAGTGAGATAGTACTTTGTTGGCTCCGAGCGGCACCTCACAATCTTGAGGTCTTCGTGTCGAATCGCGTGTCCCAAATCCAGAATTCTGCCACTTGTCTAACGTGGAGACATGTCCCAGGGGAGTTGAATCCAGCAGACTGTGCTTCTCGTGGCTGTGAAGCCTCCTACTTGGTTGATCACCCGCTGTGGTGGGGGCCCGGCTGGTTAACTGAGTCTCAGGCGTTCTGGCCCCAGAACAAATACTCTGAACCAATTGAATTGCCTGGCCTACGAGCCCGAGTAGGAGTGGTCAAGGATAAGCCCACTCGTGATCTCTCCTTACTAGAACGGTACAGCTCTCTCGACAAGCTCTTGGGAGTAACTGCTTGGTTGCGTCGATTTGTCCGCAACTCTCGGCCCCTCTGTCCTCTCTCGTCCGATCCGAATGATTTAGAGGTTCTAACCCCTGGCCACTTCCTGATAGGCCAGCCGCTTAACGCCCTGCCCGAGTACCCCTTCCGGGAAATAATCTCTTCGCGGTTGAGCAGATTTGACATGCTGCAACAAATAACTCAGAGTTTTTGGCACCGATGGTCTCTGGAGTACCTACATCTTTTGCAGCAGCGCGTTAAGTGGTCTGACAAGACGGACCCCCCTCGGGTTGGAGACCTCGTGTTAGTTAAAGAACCTAACGCCTCGCCCTTGTATTGGCGCCGTGGGCGCATTGTCAAGTTGTCGTATGGACCGGATGGGATCCCTAGGGTGGCCGAGGTTTTGGTTGGAGATTCGGTTTTGCAACGTGCCGTCTCTACCCTATCCCGCTTGCCAATTTACTCGCGGACCTAGATCCTCATGTCCGGGACGGGGGCTTGTTTAGGCCTAATTTAACGTTTGGCGGCCTGCGTCGGCGCTCGGGTCGAGCGGGAAGCGAGCCTGACGGCTGAGGCGCGGGGGTGCGGGCTGGTGCGGCGTCCGGCCGCGCCGGCGTCGGCGTTTTGCGGGTCACCTGCCGCAGAGCTTGGAACTGAGTAGTTGCGCGTCGTGTTAATAGCTTAGTCGCCCGCTGCCTCTGACGCCTATACTTCGCGAACCTGAGTTGTTTGCAACGCGGCCCGGTGATATTGCATTTTTCACAAATGTCGAGTTTGTTGTAACGCGCGTTCGGTTAAATCTTGTTGGAATTTATTGGATTAACCTAATGATAATTGACTTGACTCCAATTAACAAGTGAGAAACGAGTATAATTTCCGAGACTCTTAAATTTTTGTGACGGACTGCCACTTCGATATAAAGAATAGAGGTGAAGCCTTGGGATCGGCGGTTCTGCAACCAGCGGGAAGTCAGGTTACATAATATAACACAACACAACACAATACAGCACGCACACACTTACACCTGAATCTTCCTAGGGTTGACCCTACTTCGAAGAAATAGGTAAGTTTTGTTTGGTTCCCTTTTTACCGCTAACGTGTAATATTCCACAAGCCATTTAGGCCGACCTCCTGTTACTCGTCGAGTGGAACCCCTGATGGGCCCGGGTCCCACGACCTTGCCCGGGTAACTAGAGGCCGTAACAGGTGAGTACATCACTCACCTTCGATTTGCTGACGATATAGTCCTTATGGCGGAATCGCTGGAGGACCTAAGCTCTATGCTCAGTGACCTCAATGGTGTATCCCAACGGAACGGAGGTCTTAAGATGAACATGGACAAAACAAAGATCATGTTTAATGTCCATGTCACACCTATGCCGGTAGTTTTTGGAAGCACTATGCTCGAAGATGTTGACGAGTACGTTTACCTGGGACAAATAGTCAGACTAGGTAAGTCCAACTTCGACCGAGAGGTCAATCGACGGATTCAACTCGGCTGGGCAGCGTTCGGGAAATTACGAAACATCTTCTCGTCAGGTATACCTCAATCTCTGAAAACTAAAGTGTACAACTAGTGCGTGTTGCCAGTGATGACTTACGGATCTGAGACGTGGTCCTTCACTACTGGCTATCTTGCGATGCCGTCTCCTTTGACCTTTGGTTTAATACTCAATATTTTGGACGGAGTCATTTTTATATATATTTAATACATATATATATATATATATATATATATATATATATATATATATATATATATATATATATATAATACTAATTTACTCCCACACTAGGACGCTCTCCTGTTTCCAAGTACATACCGTTGCACATGGACAAACAGTAGACCCGGAATTATTATTTAAAATTGCCAATAGATTTTGTTAGCACTCACGGCCCTTAAACGTCACTCTAAATGGGTAAATAATAAAAACACTTCATAGCTTTCACCAGCTGGCCATGTTAGACCTCCATTGCTTTTAGCAAAAATAATAACCACCACCACTGAATTTGACTGAACTCTGCACCAGACCCAGATGACACTTATTGTTTTATACTTGAAAATTATTGTTCTTAATTCACTTAAATGTTGATATTTAAGGGTAGTTTTCAAGAAGCGTCGGGGAAAATAAAAATCCATATAAGATTCATCACTTATAATGGTCCATATAATTCATAGAGAATAAAATCACAATGGATTAGTTACTTTATACACGATATAACAGACATCATGGAGTATTAACGGTGAATATTTTGTATCTACTCATATATACCAGTTCAATAAATAGGTAAAACGTGCATCAAATTACAAACATTTATAACAACGACAAAATAGTAAAATACTGACAATTATTGGTGTTGTGTGCATTAATTTTTTTTTTCAATACACAAACCAGACTATTTATTTTTTAGATAGGAGATAGTTCAAAAATGGAATTACCATTTTCGCGACTGTCATGTGTTAAAATCTTATGTCACATTAAAACATTATAATAGTTTATAAATATTATACACTCTACAGCGTAGCTCTTTCGTATTATATTAAAAATTTGAATGTATTATTGAGTATTGCAATCGCCCTTCTGCGACCCATAATGAATAATAATATAAATATGTATATCATAGGGGGGTCTTTATTGTTTGACTTTATTTTAAAAACACGGATTTGTCACAGTAAATATTAAACTATACGTTACATGCTATTAACGATGAAAACATATTTTATTTAATTACATATGGTTTGTTCTATGTAATATTTTATGTTTGTGTTTTTTTTTATTTCAAACTAGAGCCAAAATTTTATTAGGCCCAAAGTAAAAATTCGGTGAAACGCTAATAAATATTGTTTGCTTTGTTTGTCGGCACCAAAGTTACTACTTATACTTGTGATTTTCAGGTAACTAACAACATATAAATATGAGATTACATTTTCTCCATTAAATATCATATTTTTTATCTATTTACATTTTCCGATATAATCTTATTTTGTGATATTTGGCTTAAAATTGATTTTCCAAAAAGGAATTTTATAGACTAATGTATGAAGTGTCTTATGACGTTTACCCCAAAAATATTGCCAATAGCAATATATAAAAATGTTACTTGAATTAAATTACTTGTAGTTGTACATTAATTGAAAACATAATTCATGTAAGAGTTTTAACGTATTTTGTTAAATGCCTTATTTATTAGAGTCAAATAAAATATAAGACACTTCATATGATTGTTAATGTACTTCATACTACGTTAACATTGGATAATATTATTGAAATTACAATCTATCTAAATATTTACAAATCAGACTTTTTACAATGAAACCTTAAAATACTAATGATCATTTGTCTCTTGGATTTGTATTTCATGTTCCAAAATGTGCCCACTAATAGGTAATTTACTTGTCGCATCAATCGAATAATATATATAACATTTTTCTAAAATATAATACTATTTATATTCCTGAACACAGGACAGGTACGGTTATTATGTGCTTTATTGAAAATTACATCCATATATATGACTAGTGATATGTTATGATAACTTTACAATCTGTGGTAAAACATATTCGCGCCAAAATGAGATTACACTTTCTGTGTACATAAAATATCGATATCGATATCGCTTATTTATAAGTAATTGTGATGTTGTTATTATTAAAAGCATAACCTTAATATTATTATAAAATATACACAATGCACCTTGAAAGGGTCTAAAGATTAACGCTTTTTAAATATAAACTAACCTAACAAACTAACTTCACAATAAAAGCAGTCAGGTTTTTTGGTAGATCCCGTTTGGGATTTAATAATAGGATTTAATATAAACCTTGAATTACAGAGGTAGGTAGTGAAAAATTTAACCTAATAAGTATTCATTCATTTATTTCGAATTATGCCTTTATCACCCTCAATATTTAAATATTATATGCTTTATTTACAATTAAATTAGTAATAAAGAGAAAATAATTTTGGTCAGGCCTCCATGGTTTATCCAAACATTTAAATATACATCTATTTTTTTTAGTTTTTCCCTTGAAAGCAATTAAGGGCTGTTCACACACTGACGTTCCCGAGCATCGTACTTAAGTCGCATTCATTATGAATGTGACTTAAGCGGAATGCTTGGATCATACGTTCGATTCCGGACCTTCTGTATTATGCTTGAACGATGCTCTGATCCTCGCCAGGTATAGTGCGCAGATGTGGCCGTAGCATTTGTTGTACCATTCGGGTGTGCGACCCCTGCAAATAAGAAATGAATTCATATATAACTAATGACGACTTATCTTCTCGCCAGGTATATGGTACCTCAAAACTTGAAAACGAGACAACCAGCGCGTGGCTGTATGAATCTAAGACGTGGACCTTCACTGCTGGACGTTTGTGGAAGCTCAAGGTCGCTGAGCGACCTATGAAGAGAGCTAAGTTTGGGTTTCTCTGCGTGATAAACTTAGAAATGAGGATATTCGCAGTAGAACCAGAGTAATCAACATAGCTGAACGAATTATTAAGGTCAAGTGGAAATGGGCAGGCCACATAGTTCGAAGAATCGATAACCGATGAGGAAGAAAGGTTCTCGTGTGGTAGCCTCGTACCGTTAGACGAAATATAGGACAGCTAACCATTAGATGAAGTGAAGACTTGGTAAGATTTGCAAGAAATTGATGGATGCAGGTGCTTCAGGCATAACAGAAAGCTTTGTGGCATTCCTTGGGAGAGGTTTATGTTCAGTAGTGGAGTTGTGAAGGGTTGTAATGATGTTGTTGATTTATAATTAAAGAAGAGAGCTGACTTTTTGACGTGAATACGTTCTTAAATTTGCTTTCATAGTGGGAGGCAATTCAGAAAACCGATTATAACAAAATCGGGGAACACAGTTTGGTGTAGTGATTACATGTTTATCAACCACATTCAAAATTTAATTACGTCAGTTAATAGTTGCAGGATCATAGAATTTGATACGTTGAGTGAGGACTGTGACACAACGCCCGCGGCCGGAGAGGGGAACGCCACCATTTTGAAGTTGTGCGTTACGTAATTTCCACTTAGTATGAATTTTGACTTTACGTACACGTATTCACGTAAAACACACGACCGTGACAATGGCATAGATACACCCCGATTTTATTCTCTTAAAATCGCACCCGAGGCATAGTCACAATGTGTCTTCGCTATACTGATGTTAAGCACTCGTGCTCGCGGTGTAATAAAAAGGGGAAGACAGGACGCCGTCTGATGCGCTTTGCGATCTCTGTCGGAGTGCAAAGTGCGGCTGCGGCCCTTGCCGGCCGGCTGCGCCAGGTAGCGCGACGCCAGCACCACGCTAATGTTTCAAGTAAGGGCGTGCTCACATGGTGTCGACGCGCGCAAGGTGCACGAGGCGGCTGCGGCCCTTGCCGGCCGGCTGCGCCAGGTAGCGCGAAGCCAGCACCACGCCACGCGCACCGCCCGCGCCTCCTCCCCCGCCCCTGCCGCCGCTCCCTCCCGCGCCCGCGCCCGAGTGCGCCACAGACGTCTCCGCCACGGCACACCAGCCGCCGCCGCCACCCCCGCCTCCGCCTTGCTGCCACGACCTGCGGGCGTACTCATTCATGTTAAACTTACTCGTAACACATAAAATTTAAAAGGTTTTTATTAAGTTAGAGCACGAATGAGCCAGTGCGACCGGCAAAAGACCATGCTGGTAGAATAGCAGCATAATTCTGCTGTGTTTTGTATACTGAGTTCCGAAAACTAATATCTTTCCACCATTTTATATTTTAGTTGTGTGTTTAAATCACGTCGGATGGTCGCCCTCGTCGGCCGTGAAACGAAATGAAGCAATCTCCCGCCGGATATTTAGCCTGGAGAGCGACCAACGCTCCATGTGTTAATACAGAGCTGTTCTATATTATCAGAGTACTTAGGAACTTTTAAAATGCGATTTACGCTTCGGTGCGATTCGCTCACAATGTCGTCCAAACCGAAATTCGATAAATTCTCAACCCAGGCTAGGCTAGGCTAGAGTCAAGCAGAGTGTATGCACGTATACTCTTAATTCTCTCACTCTCATAATCTAAGGAATGGTAGCCCGACACGACCGGAAGGAGAACAGACAGAGGACCCACGACTTTACGTGCACGGCGGTAAAACACAAGTCAACAAATTTCTTGAAAAAAAGTATACACTGATTTTGGTGATCAGATATCACGTCGACAACCACTAATAGCGATACGTACACGTTAGTGCTCAAGGGTCATTTATAATTGTTATTATCGTCTAGTACATTGTGTGCCATAAAAACCCTCATACACTATATCCTGTGAGCAAAATCTTCTAGTTCGGTAGTTTAGTTAAGTAGTTGGACAGACCTATGTCCATATAGATCTTATTAAAGATTGCATCAGGTATGGTGAACATGCTTGCTACATGTCAATACCTACCTGATGGTAAATATTCACTGCAATCCATAGATACATGAAGCCAACTTCAAACTAATAAGGCTACAGATGCTCTGTCACTTCTGAGGACTAGGATAGGATTCCTCGCCACAACCTGTAATTTAACTGTCTCTCTTTATCCTTCATACCGGAACGGAAGTGCAGGCATTTCTATTTCGCGACAGAAACCTGATAAAAGGTATCTACCTAGAAGCGACTCCCAGGCAAGAGTTCTATCACCTAGACGTGGTAAATCAACACTTACACACGCTATCATTGTTACCGTTAGGGTTCTAAGCAGGGTTGATAGCGTTGTTTATATTGAATGAAAGCCAATGTTCAGCAATGGTTGCGTAGTGGGCTTAAATGATGACGATGATATGTATTTTGATGACTCTGATGATGACGATATTTAAAAGTATCATTTAGGATAGATGAGATAACAATGATGAAGAAACTTAATTTGATAGCTTACCGTAAAACGCAATAGTCTCTAGGTGGCAGGTTAAAACTAGAAGCCGTTATGTACTGGAACACCTCTGCATTCGGTCCCAACTTCTCCACTACTCGCCATTTCACCAACGAGTCATCCCATATATGCCGCTCGCGGAGGATTCTAAGAAAAATAAATAAGGAAATAAGAATTTTATCTACAACTTATTGTTTAAATTAATGTTGTAGTATGTACACTTATCTACAGAATTGTGGGCCCCTCATTCGAATCCAATGTCGAATCCTTTATGAATTATGAGTTAACGTAATAATATTATGTGTCCTCCACTGACTGCCTCGTTGGTCTATTGGTTGTAGTAGTGAGACTGCTGATCATGAGGTGTCGGGTTAGAATCCCGGGTTGGGCCATAAATCAATTATTGATTTTTTCCGTCAAGAAAGCTACTTGGAGTCAGGAAGTTTACGGTGTCTCACCCCCGTGCCTCGGAAAGCACGTAAAACCGTTGGTCGTACGCCTGATCTCTCTCCAGTCGTGTCGGTTTACCGTACCATCGGATTATGAAATTGAGGGAATAGAGATTGCACCTGTGCTTGCGCGTACACTTGGGCACTATAATCCTGTCCTGCGCCGATAGACAGTCTCCGTTGAGGCAGGCCGCAGTGACCGTTTAAATATACAAATAAAACACATAGTTTCATTAAGTTACGTTATAGGTATTAGATTTTCTTAGTCCAAGTACGTTAGTGGACTGGCCATTATTCTTTGCTTTGATAGTGAGAAGCAATTCAGAAAATTGATCAGGGATAAAGTTTTATGTTGCAACAATATATCTATCATCTACATCCAAAATTTAATTACACCACTGGACCGCTAAAAGATCCGTGGTAGCTCAGATGGTCAACACTCGCTGTAAATATCACAGAACGTGAGTAACCTGGGTTCAATTCCCGCCGGCACCAATGAAATTGTTAATTGCAATTTTAAGTGCTGATTTCCCACGTGCTCGGCGGTGAAGGAAAACATCGTGAGGAAACCTGCATGTCTGAGGAATAAGAAAAAAAAATATTTCGAAGACATGTGAAGTTCGCCAACACGCATTGGGTCAGCGTGGCGGACACTTCCTTGCCCTAAAACCCTCTCAGAAACGAGGGGAGGCCTGTGCCCAGCAGTGGCTTTACTTTACTTTTTACCGCTTAAAGAAATTCCTATGCATCGCGTGCGTCGGTGGGGGGGGGGGGCGTCGCCATTTTGATGTCTTTTCATGGCGTCACATAATTTAGTTACTACTACTACTAGGGGTATGTTCCGAAATACAACGCAGTGTACTGTCCAATGCCAATGACGTCATGAATCGGCGCTATACTGGTGATTCGTTCCAAAGCATTGGACAGTATATGACGTAATACTTTTGCGCCATTTGGAAAAGTGTTGGCGATTGTTTTGTCATTTTGTGCTCCAAAAATCATTATATCCTCCTAATGGATATACCATCAATTATTCTATAATTTTTTGTATTTGAAAAAAATAGAAACAAATTCTGGCATGCTTCATTCGGCAAACACACAATTAAAAATTGTTTTATTATGGCCGGATATCCGACACAATATGGCGGTGGCACGCTAGTACAATAAAGTGTCAAATGATACGTCATTTGCATTGGACAGTACACTGCTTTGTATTTCGGAACATACCCTAGATATGTGTCAATCATTCATTTCTCGTGACCGAATCATTCTATTTCGTCACGCGTACCAGTACATTAGGATCGAGCATTCAAATGGATAATTTCGGGCTGTAGTACCCTACACTAAAAGCAATTCATTTAGGTCATTCGGGATGCGGTCGGTTTTCGACTCATTCATAATTCACAACAATCACGAGTTAAAAAGGCTCCGTCAATTGTTTGTGATGGGTTGTACCGGAACATTCGAAAGCAGATGAATAAACCATCAATACTTTTAAGTGTACCAGCTCAAACGAACGAATCATTCATGATTGACACATGTCTATTGCGTATTCACGTAAAATACACGGCGGCGTCTTGTTTTACTTCCCATTAAGCTGTTTATTATAGTTGCGGATCTCGATTTTAGGATTTAAAAAAAAATGTTATGTGGTTATTTAGAAGGACATATGCATAAAAAAGTACGGCAATTAGTATATTTTTTAAAGTACGGAGAATTTAGTTATTAAACAATATGTTTTTTGATGTTATGTGATATATTATACATAATCTGTAGCATTTTAAAATGAAAGGTTTTTGAGTTTTCAATAATTAAGATAAGCTTATACGGTTACCATATTGCCTAAAATTTAATTTCGATTCAGAAATAAAACTGATTTAGGCTTTAGAAAAAATGTAGTTATAATGTAGTGATTAAATCACAGAGTACTTCTCTAGTGAAATGTAGTTATATATTCTTTGTTTAGGAACGTAAATAATTACGAATGCGAGCAATGATAAGATATTTAATATTGCGTTCTGGTATTCTGTAAGGTAAGAATACCACCGTAAAATAGCCGCTTAATGCTGCTGTCTTTGTATGGTGAGTGTAGAGAACCTGAAACCCTTTTACTGAAAACAAGGCATTCCATCTAAGTCCTCACGGGTGGTAGCGCATCAGAATTTTAATTCTTAATTGAGGATAAATGTAGATGTCTATGGGCCACAACACCTTCTTACCATCAGATAAACTGTGTGTTCGTACGTCATCCTTATTCTAAATAAAACAATTATGTTTTTCCTTAGTCCAAAATGGGTATTGTTTGTTAAAGAAGTTTTGATATGAAAATGAAAAGGGTACCTCTGCATGACCTCCATGGGCGGCGCTTCGACGTCGGTGGTGGCGCGCCACAGGCGCAGCGGGTGCCCGTCGCCCACCTTCTTGCAGCACAGCTCCACGTGCGCCGCCGCGCCCGACACCGACATCCAGCCCCTGCTCCTGCCAATTCACAATCCATTACCATACGAACAAAGTTCAATTTGCAACTAAACAGAAGCCTATCGCTATGGTTCCTTTAATGTAACTAGACATAGTCCATCTTTCTCCCTTTTAACGGTAATTTTTGAAGTGAAAACTTCTTTAGCGGCGTTGTACACCTTTTTTGTAATGGGTAAAAAATGTTAAACTCGCGTCAGGACACGTGACCCTGATCGAAAATGCGTAATGTCGCCTCTACACGTTGGCCAACACAGTGGCGAATGTAGTAGCGAATATATTGGCCGAGAGTTGGTGACGGCGTCCACACGTTGGAACGTCGATCAGTTTACTTCGGTTCGGGCCAATGTGCGGATGAATTTATAAGCACCGTGGCGCAGTGGCTCAGCAATGAGCGGCTGCGCCGGGCGCCGCGGATTCGATCCCGCACGGAACAAGTATTTGTATGTCCTACAAATAATTGTTTCGGGTCTGGATGTGTGTCCTTGTGCAATTTATGTTTGTAAACTGCCTGCGCGATACGGGAGAAAATCCTAGTGTGGGGTTAACGTTTTTATAAAAGAATTATAAAATAATAGTGGCTATTAATGGGGTTGTAAATAGATATACGATATACGATTAGCTTTATTTATTCTTATATCTTCTTTATATTATTATTCTTTATTTATTTATTACAAAGCGTGAATATAAAATTTTAATCAGATGCGTGTAATCGCTCTGGGAGCTTGTAGCAAACTAAATTCGCGGCCAACGTGTGGACGCGGCGACCAAACTCTGCCAACAATCCTTTGATCTTTTGTAAAAAACCGACACCACACGGATCTCGCGCCAACTTGCGGGCCATCGTTCCAATACATACCAATGAAGCCCAACCACCCCGTCTACACGTTGGCCAATGCTATTGGCCACTAAAAACCCCACTGTGTTGGCCAACGTGTAGAGGCGCCGTAAGACGGACGGCGTAGGAGAGGAAGTATCCCCCTCTCTTTCTAAGGCGCGGCGAAAATGTATGCCTGCGCCTGCTGTTTAGTTTAAACGGCGCAGGGCGCTTGCGCGAATGGAATATAAATTGTCATGTTTGTGTACGATAGCGCAATAAATAAATATTGTATTCTGCCACATAAATGATAGTACTTTTATATTGATAATTAAAGCAATTCGTGCAAAATTATTCCATAACCATTCCAAAATATGAAAAATGCACCACGCTAATATTCAAGGTTTCACTTCTGCCGGCACTCCCTGAGTGCAAGCCGCCGTTTTTTTTAAAAGGAGAACGTTAAACAAGTTGCTTTGTAGTGGCGGCGTAAGAAAATTCACAATCCCAAGTCATCTCGTGGATGTCGAAGAGGCGACAAAGGGATATGAAACGGGAAATGGACAACAGCACCTTGCTGATGACATTTCCAAATAATAAAAAAACTGCAGTTGCCAGCACGAATGAGAGGGGAGGCCTGTATGCAATGGACTTTTATGGGCTGTAATAGACGGAAGGTATCGCTTTCTAATAACTTTTGAAGTTTTTAAACCATTAATTTCGACAGTAAATTAGGGTAGCATAATAATTTTATTTTGTTTTACCAGAATTACTTTATAAATAATTTTTTTTTAATAAGAAATGATAAAATTAAAAATCCTAAAGACCTACATTATTAAATTAAACGAATAAATTCTAAATACACCTAGGTACCACAAAACTTCTACTTGTAACAACGAACTAAAGGAAATTATCGGTCCTTTATGAATAATCAAATATTTAACTAAACGATAAATGATTTTTGTCAGTTGAAGATGTGGCCGCTTGCCTTAGAATCAACGTTATGTTTCATTTAATGTTCCTGATTCTGGGGACCTTTATCCATAAATGTCACTTAAAGTAACTGTATTATCAAACGATTCGTTTGGTTTTCAGCAACAATTGAAATTGTAAAAATCATCTCGTGAAAAGCAGATCCATTTTTCAATAAAAAACGATACTTCAAGTTAATTTTTAAAAAATATAGAGGGAAATTTCAAATGAGAACATTTGTATTTTTATTTGCTTGTAAATTATATTATCAAAATGTATAGTAGTAACTGGTCAGTGTCACAAAAGAATTTTGCGCAATCTTTCTACGTGGACTGTCGTATTAAAGATGTGAAGAAGTCTTTCTTTTTTCTAAAACATTTTAATAGAGCACAGTTTGCGACACGTAAGCTTTTTTGATAGTTTAGTTAGTTTCTAGTTATTTAGTTTAAAGTTAGTTTAACACGGTGGTACGTAAGTATGAGCAGCGTTTAAAGTAAGTTTATTACACACAGAGAATTTAATTTGAAAATGGTGCATTATAAAAATTTCTCGGCGCGGCGGCGGCGGCGCAACATAATAAAATAAATGTATAGTGTTTGGGCTGTATAGTAATGTAATATAAGTAAATAACGTTTAAATTTAATTTGACATTCAATAAAGAGCCGATAGTATTCATCTACACAGACAATGCAAGGAAAGGTGACATCGCTCTAACATTCAAGTCTCACCTCTTTCCTGATCTGCCACAGACTCTAAAAAAGCATGAAATTAGTTAGATTCTCCAAGAAATAGCAAAAATCAGAAATTGTTAACAATAGTGGATAAATAGAAAGAAACAGAGAAATAAAAAGTAATTAAAAAAAATTGCTTTGTTTCCATTTTGTTAAAAACTATCAATTGTTCCACGTAAAATGGTAGGGTTACTTCTCGGACAATGTCAAGTTATCTATTCCCATAATGTATTATATAAGCCATTAATGGATCATTTTATTTATTTATTTAACACTTTTCTATTAAAAAAAACTAACAAAACTAATAAAATTACTACTATACCCTTTAACTACCCACGGTAGGTTTAAAATTTAAAATGCTTGTATTAGGTGTGGTTAACGACATAAACCGAATGGTGGATTAGAACCCACGACCTTTCGAGTTCGAGGTCTGCACCCTGTCATTAGGCTGCTGTCGCCTTTACACTTCATGTTGCGTTTTAAAGAATATTGCTACCGTACCATATATTTGGAACAAATATAGAAAAGGGTGTACTTTAGGTTCTACTGTATTCATTTAGAAATAGTTAAAAATAATTATTTGCAAAAGATGTGTGACTTACTTTTCTTTGGCTTCTTTGAGTAAAGCTTTGATGCAAGCTTGTTGAAATCCCTTCCAGTCTTGGTTAAAGTCTGCTCCCAGTTCTTCTAATGCAACCTGAAATAATTTTGGTTATTAAAATATTTATTATTTCGAATTAGTTAACTGAAATGGCAATGTGCCGGCTAGAAGCTGCAGCTCGAATATATGTAGCACGAAGAACCGATAACTGAGGGGGAAGAAAGGTTCTCGAGTGGCAGCTTATACCGCCCTCTAGGCGAAGTGTGTGGTGGCCCTCCACTAGATGGAGTGATGACCTTTAAGATATGCAGAAGTCGATCGATGCAGGTGGCTCAGGACCGTGCTTTGTGAGATTCCTTGAGGGTCTATGTTCAGCAGTGGACCTGTGAAGGGCTGTAATGATGATAATGATTATTAAAATTTTGTTAATTAACGAATTACCGAGCCATGGTAGCTCGGACCAATATTTTGCGATATATATCACAGTATTTATAATAATATAGTAGGAATTATCGTTACCTTGTAAAATAATTAAATTACTTTCTAACGTTATAACACTTAAATGAACAGTTTATCCCTTGACTGATTAACGTAAAATCATATAAATTTACATGTTCACAGCTGATTGCCTCATAAGGAGGGATATTTGCCATAGTTGCTACGATTGGGGGAGGGGGGGGGAGTTGGTAACTGCATTTTTTATTTTATAGTTTAGTTTTTAAATAATGTTAGCATAGACCCCACATTAGGATTCACTGTTGTATCGTGGAGGCAGTTTACATCAAAACTAGGAACAATTATTTATAGGCCATATAAGTACTTGTTCAATGCGGGTTTCGAACCCTCGGCCCTCAGCACCACAAGTCATTGTTAAGCAACTGCGTCAAGGAGCCGTCAAAGCCACTGTTATTAGGAAGATGCTATCTTGCACTTGTCTGTTAGAACTGCCTCTATAGAGTATATAATTATTGGCTATCAAATATTATTAGGGGAATTTATCAAATTAAAAGTGACACATTTTTAATAAAAAATAGTAATGTTTTTCAGACCGAATTTTGTTTACGGCAGCCAGTCACAATAGAGACCATCTGCGCATTGTACTACACGTGTGTGAGCATATACATAGGTGTACCCTCTATGCCCTGACTCTCATCGATAGAACGAAAAACCCGATATCACCGAAGAGAGATCATGTAAAGTATTAATATGTCTTCCCGAGACATAGGGGCGCCAACCTGCTGACTCCGGACCGCTACTAAGAATTTCTTTGCAAAAAATCAATAATGGATTTTTTTGGCTTGATCCGAAATCTCATGATTAGTAAATGTGTTTACAACTACTAAACTATCCTTGGCCACACAATAAACTACTAGTAACGCTATAACCATTATCGGATATTTGAGGGTCTGTAGAAAAAAAGGTCTATGGTGAAAAAATGGTATGGTGGTGGTATATATATATTTACCAAAGACAAGGGTAGTAGTCGGGTACGGGCTTAAAATATTTAAAGCCATTAAACGTGGTAGAGCCACGCTGTAGTCATATCATGGTTGTAGCACGAATGGGTCGACACGATTGGGGCAGGACCACGATCTCATAGAATACCAGCGTAAAATAGCAGTTCAATGTTACTGTTTTACAATGGCGAGGGTTGAGAACGTGAGACCATTACTGTAAATCATCTTAATCTTAAGTGATGACAACGCATCTAGATTTTGATTCTTAATCTAGGATAAATTTAGATGTCTATTCGCCACAGCATCCATTTACGATCAGGTGGACTGTGTGCTGGTTTGTCACGGTTGTTGTGTAAGTCGTTGTATAAAAAAAGAGTAGGTAGCTACCGGCACGCTCTCCTCGAAGTAGTTGAACTTGCAGCGCGCGAGCATGTCGGCGGGCGCCAGGAACAGTCGCGCGTGCTGCGTGACGAGCAGCAGTAGGCACGCGTGCGCCGCGCGGCTCTCGCTGATCTGCCGCTGGTCTGCCGCGCTCTCCACGATCATCCTGCCGCAGTGAGCGTCCGTGTCGCGTTAGTAATCAGCATCATATAAGTACAAATATATTGGCCTAACAAAACTCCACGATTATTTTACCACATCAAGCATCCGCGTCGAGTTGTGCAAATAGCAATATTATAGTAGCATCACAAATGTAGAAATCATAATATATAAGCGATTTATATGAGTGACGATCATTCAAACGACTATAGTCTAATGGCAGGGTGCGAATTGCCAACTCAAAAGGTCGTGGGTTCGGATCCGCGATTCGACTATTGTCGTAAACTACTCCTAAATGTGCGATTCCGAACCCGACTGCAGGCGGCAGCAGTCCGTGTCAAGTTCAGTCTGTTCCGAGTGTTCAGTGGGACATGATGTCTGACGTGTTTGAAATTAGCGATCGTGATTTATTTTTGTATCGTTTGTTAGAAGAGGAAGACGATGATGGTGACTTGTTTTTATTATACAAGTATAAAGAGAAAAGACGAAAAGACACGTCCTATGTTGAAATCCAGAGGAAGTGAGGGAACGTACAGTGCGGGATATTGGGCCACCTGGTTTATCAGTTTCTCTTCCTCAGAATCGGTAAAACTCATTTTTTCAACGTGTTGTCGCTCGGACTTTGGCGGCACTACTGATCTGCGGTCGGGCCCATCGGGCTGCAGTGTCGTCTATCGCTAGGCAAACGACGTGTCGCTAGCTACGGAACGTATTTCATAGAACTACATAGAAACCAGTTGGGTCGCGACGACACGTCGCTTGCTACTGCTGTCTGCGTAGGCTACGGAATTGTACCTTAAGCCCTCTCAGAAATGAGAGGAGGCCTGTGCCTAGCAGTGGGACCTACATAGGCTGTATGTAACTTTAACGTATTACTTCAATAATCTCACATCTGTTCAATTAGATACGTAAATCTTTATAGATGTCTGTAACAACACATCACGCACCTATTCGAGTTCCCTTCCTTAGTGCTGCCAGTGTGAGGAGGCGCATGATGTAGTCGCAATAAAGTTGGCGCCAAACAAACCGCCAAATTTGATGCCGTCATTTGGTTAACTGCAGAATGTTCGGCCACCTAAAAAAATGGAAACAATTACATATAAATTAAATAAAATAACAAATAATATATTAAACATAATAATCTCGTGACGTCTTACATCTTCTAGCAGTAGACAGTATAACTATTCTGTTGACGAAATATTAATCTATGACAGGGGGAATCGACGGTTTCACCTCGGCTGGGCAGTGTTCTTGAAATTACGACACATCTTCTCATCAGGTATACCTCAAAACTTGAAAACTAAGTTGTACGACCAGTGCGTGTTGCCAGTGATGACCTACGGAACCGAGACGTGGTCATTCACTGCTGGCCGTATGAGGACGCTAAAAGTCGCTCAGCGAGCTATGGAGAGGGCTATGCTCGGGGTTTCTCTGCGTAATAAATATAGAAATGAGGATATCCGCAGTAGAACCAGAGTGACCGACATTGCCCAACGGGTTAGTAAGCTGAAGTGGCAATGGGCCGGCCATATAGGTCGAAGAACCGACAACCGTTGAGGAAAAAAGTTCTCGAGTGGCAGCCTCGTACTGGCAGGCGTAGTGTAGGGCGACCCCCCAATAGACGGAGTGACGATCTGGTAAAACATGCAAGAAGTCGATGGATGCAGGTGGCTCAGGACCGTGCTTTGTGGCATACCTTAGAGAGGCCTATGTTCAACAGTGGAGTTGTGAAGGGCTGTGATGATGACAGGGGGAATCGTCAAAGATGCCGCAGTGCACTTTTAAGAAATGTCTAATTACTCACCTCCGATAAAAATATTAAAAGAGAATGTAAGGCTTCTAAATGTTCCTCTGGTAACAGCAGTAACGCGCACTGCACTGCGTCCGGTCTTAAAGGCTCCGGAACATCTGAAAATGACATCAGATTATATGTATATTTACGTGGTAGATTGCACTATGATATAGTTGTAGCACGAAACGACAGTGGAAAGAACACGCTTCCATAGAAAATAACCAAGCCGTCTTTGTTAGAAGTTGGTTGCAGGTGACCAATTGACCGCTCATTGGGTGCTAACACAACGTTTTTTTTAATAGAATAAGAGTTACAAACGAGCACACAGTCCACATGATGGTAAGTAGATGCTGTAGCATATAGGCATCTACATTTATTCTCAATGGAAAATCACCCCTGAGGACTAACATGGAATACCTCGTTTCCAGTAAAAAAGGTCTCCGGCTCTCTATACTCACCATACGAAACACAGCAGCATTGAGCTGCTATTTTACGCTGGTATTCTGTGAATCGAGCCATTTTTGTTCGATTTTGCTTGTTCTACTCGGCTGGTCGTAGGGTGCTAAAAAAGGTGTGCTCACGTTGGAATATCGCGATGAAGGTCTCGCTGAGCTTGTTGGTGAGCAGCGCGTCGGGCAGCTCGCGAAAGTACTGCTTCACGAGGTCGGCCACGTCGTGCGCCTGCGCGCCATCGAAGCTCGCGCTGCACTTGTCCAGGCCGAGGCTCTCGCTCGCGCCCGCGCTCGCCGCGCCCACCAACCCCGCAGCACCCGCCGACTCCACCGCCGCGCGTAGCTTGGCTATACGTGACTTCACGCCCGCTTTGCGGAATATACCCATCTGTAATTGGGTAAAACACTTATCATCGCCTTTATTCATTTCTTAAATCGACGTCAATTTAATGAAATGCTTAAAGTTGCTGTTTCTCTTTTCTCTGAATGATAATGTAACAGAATAGAAAGACACAACTTTAATAAAGGCTAATAATGCAATGCTACAACTCGCGGCACGAGAGTCTAGTGGTGACCGTTATTGCGCATCATTGGCCGTACTGCACACTATTGGCTGTGCGTATCGCTCGCATGCGCTGGAGTCGCATTTCATCCTCCGTACAGATACGTAATTCGCAGCGTTACGTGCCGCGAGTCATACATATTTGTTTAAAAAAGACCCACTTATTTTCTTGCTTGTTCATCTCAGGACAGAAGCTTTTTCCGAATCAGTGATAAAGGTTCAATGACTGAATAAGTATACTTGTAATTTATTTTTAATAATTATTATTTTGATCTATTCTAATTTAACGCTCATCAGATGTCGCTAGTATGGACTTGGGTGAAGACAATTGTTACACAATCTTCTTCAAATCAAAACTTTAAGTGGAAAGTTGCGTCTCAAAATATATTAAGTATTTTGGTGTATATATGACAAACAATGCCTCGGTTACCCTTTAATTTTTTGCACATTTTGAACTTTCTTTCTAATTCTTTTACTATTAGGAATATCTAATGTAAAATATAACCGATACTTCAGAAAGAACATTTATAATTTGTTCAACAAATTAATTTTACCTTTATGATATCTGTTAAATATTTCACCTAATTTCAAAATGGCGCCGCACTGTTGGCAGAAAAAGTTGTGAAAATCAACGATTATAAGAAAAGCCATATGACGTGTGGTGCTGGCGAAAGAGATTGATCATCCCATTTTCGTGGGTGTTATAAGATGACTATGGGACATGCCAAAACATCTTATAAGATAACCGTCACTCATCTCCTTACTTCTTACTCCCTACTCTTCTTACGGAGAACTTAAAATAAACTGAACAAAGCATCACTATGTATAGCACCGACTTTTGTCTAATTAAATTAAAACAAAGACCAAGAAGACACATATTTACTGCTTTATATTTATTGAAACTTTTATGTACAAAAAATGCATATGGCGGACTTAATGCTTAATTCCGTCTATTTTTTTAATTCCCACCATTAGAGGGGGCGCTCTCCCCCGTATTCGAGATCGCAGGTGAAGGTGCTCTACATCATTAAATATATAACTTATTAATTTTTTTTCCAAAAATATTCATTTTACTTTTGTCGAGATAGTATAATTTTTTACCTTTTTATATTTCATAAATGTCGTTTTTGGTAATGTTTATACGGGCTGTAGGTTTAAAAAGCCGAAGGAAAATAAAAACTGCCTCTTCATACAAATTTCGCCTCTACCTTGTACATTTTGTACTTTACTACTATTTTTACTGACACAAGGATATTTCTTCTTTTTTATATCAATCTTTTTCCGTTTATTTTTTTTGGTAATAAATTATATATAAAACTTAAAATATATAAAACATACCAAATATAAAAGTCCAAGACAGTGGAGCAACTTTCATGATATGCTCCGCTCAGTTCATAAGAGCCGCGCTAGGGAAAGAGATCAACCGTGCGAGCGAGAGGTAAAGTAACGTTGAGCAATACTGCACACGTCTTAACGCCGAGAAATCCCAGCGGAACTGAGAGAATTTTCAGGCGTTACTGGTTTATAAATGGCATATAGGTAAAAAGTACAAAAATATACACTTTTTTAATTTTATTTATTTCTAACTCCCTTGAAAATAGTTCTATTTTATGTGGTTTTAAGTACGACTTTGCTACATTTATACTCGTACTTCTAATAGAAAAAAATAGATATGTATTTGCAGTAAAAAAATCTTTTTAAGCCCTTCAAATAAGAAAATTAAAGCATTTATAAAAAATGTAACCAGATCAGATTATTGTAGACAATATGTAAATAAATGTGATCTGAATACTTTTCTTGATATTGTTATAGTTTGTACATAGCAGAGGCTTTAATAAGACCTTTTACGCATGTACCCTAAACATAGGCATGTTTAACGCCTTATAATGCTATTAATTTAAACACCAAAATAAAAATAAAAAACTGTTTCGAAAATATCAAATCCTACACTTCAAATAAATGTAAAATATGTTTCACTTTTTCTTTTTTTAAATACTATAAAAAATATTTGATTTGCTGTAAATTTTGCGAGAACACTAATTTTTACCAGACTGGGGCCTTAAGGCATTCTCTTCCAGTCAACCATTATGTTAAGCCGATATAAAAATTTGAGAGGTAGTGCAGCACAAATAAACTAATAATGAAAAAAACAATGTTCACGAAGTATGAAGAAACCAGCATATTATACTGCATGATTCTTTTACAGTCTGGAAAAAAATAGGGTGTAACTGATATTCTACACTTTTTATTTTATTTTACATTAACATATTAAGAAATTGATCTATCAGTAAATATTACTAATTGGGTGCGTATTATTTTAATTTCGATAGTTTTGAATGATTTATTTATTTAGTTCAAAATTTTTGTTTTTATTTTTTAATACCGACAGTTTATTTGAAATTAGTAGTATTTATTGACAGATCAATTTCATAATACGTTAATATAAAAGCAGATAAATTGTAAAATATCAGTGCCATCGGCTTCTATTCCGTTAATCTATTACAGCCTATTTTTTCTAGACGGTAAAAAACATTCAATATATAAAAAATAAAAACATATCATACAAATGTACAAATAATATAAATATATTATCTGTTATATAACTTAATCTGCCCATTTCGCGGGACATAAATCAAACTTAAGTAGGTATTGTTATATAAAGTATTCTATATCCTGTTCCACGAAATAATCGATTATATTCCAAATTTCTTTAATCCCGTTTAGTCGTTCTCAAACCTGACTGGAACGACAATTATACTTTCACATTTATAATATTAGGTATAGTAATAGAATATAATAATATAATGGAATGATTTTCAGGCAATATAAATTAAATAGAATACAAATTGAAAATCATTTATGTTTTTACCACTTTTTCAGAACCTAAAAACCTGTCGTGGGACGAACTAGCAAAAACTCAGCGATACTTTTTGTAAAATAGTGTTATAACTATTGCCTGATGAAATTATAAAGTATCATACTGTTACTGTTACAGACTTTCAATTTTGAACATTGGCCTCACCGTAGATTATCATATATAGATGGGTTTTCATAGTGGGTCATGTGCCATAGCTGCCTCGCTTTGAAAGCGAGTTAGTAACCACAGTTTTTTTTAATCGTTATTATGAAGACGTTACTGCTCAACATCAGGTTTGTATGTCTAACGCCTCTTGCAATACCTACAGGACGATATGGGGTTGTAGATATTCTTAAACTGCTACGGTTAAATAATAATAATCGATAATAAAATTCCATGTCGCCAATACAAACACCTTATTATGTACACCTACAATACATACGATGTGTTGAGGCAGTTATGGAGTTTCATCGAAAATAATAATAATTTTACCTGATCCAACGCATTCGCTTTAAGCCAATTAAGTGCGCACTGAATAGGCTTCGGTAAAGCGTGCCCCGTTCTTTGTAACGACACCGTGAGGGGTACGCCGAACACCGTTTTATCTGAAAGTAAAGACGTAAGAACTTAAGACTTGTGTAAATGGTACTTGTGTTGGAGGCCGTTTTCTGCAAGAGAGAGAGAGAGAGAGAGAGAGAGAGAGAGAGAGAGAGAAGCTATTCGGGTCACCTCAGACTATCAGGTTCACTCTAGTTTGTCTAGTGGTCGTGAGTGTGACTATTGAGCATGTGGACCCGGGTTCGAATCCCGGGTATGGACTAAATCAGCTATTGAGTTTTCCTGTCAAGAAATTTTTCAGCAGCAGCCCCGAGACAGGAAGTTGGCCCATTTTTTATCCTTGTGCCTCGGAAACTATGTATAGCCGTTCATCTTGCGCCTGAGCTCTTTCCAGTCTAAACGGATTTTCGGCCCATTCGGTATAATAATGTCTTGCGTAAATGGCTAGTCTCGATCGAGGTTTCCTACGTTGATATATTTTAAATAAAAATACTAGGAGTGATTTTAACATTATTGATATACTTTCGTTAATCACCTTGTGCTAGGAGTGGCTCACAACAGTCATAATAAATATATTAATAGTTAATTTGCAACCATCCGCTAAACTAAAAAAAATGATGTATTTTCCCTAGTTTGAAGAGTACCTCCCGGCCTCCCTCAATTGCGTGCACTAATCCCGTCACCACCAATCCCAGCAACACTACTCCTTACGCCACTACTCCCAATATTGTATAAATACCAAGCGATATTAGATTTTAATGTCCTAAACAGTAATTTACTGAGACAGAGTAATTGGTCTCTACTTCTGAACACGTGGTCAATATTAAAACACATCATGTTTATAATAAACAAGGGATGCGAGCATATAAGCAGATTACTTAGTGTCACGTTTACCCATTACTTGACGGAGGACTGCTAACATAGTTTATTGGTACTAAACTACATAAAGTTATCCACTTGCCAGCGTAGTATGAGCTACTTATGTAAGTGTGTAGATACACCTATAATAGAATTCTCTTTTACGTTCTTTAAATTTATAGTCTCGGTTCCTTTGAAACATAAGTTACCCTATTTCATAATGAACCTTATCGTTTGAACATACGGTAGAATATTTATTACATAACATTTATTGAAATATTGCACGCTTTATTATATACACAGTAAAAACAAGCCTCCAGGGCTCGCGGTAAACCCGGTTTTACTTCATGTGGTCCTTAGTATTGCATATTATATTCGAAGGTTGTTTTTAAATTATGTGTGACGCTGAAGGGGTGTTTTGTTTTCGCAAGGGGGACATAAATTGATTTTTAACAAGTCACGTTTAAGGTAAGGATAAACTGATCCCAATGGATCAGTGGCCAAATTGGAAAAAGTAACAACTAATAAAATTCGTAAGGCGATACCATATTGAATAATTCAGTTTCTGAAATAGTGTGTTCTCTTTGTTTATTTACCAAAATTTTCCCTCTTTATTAATTTTTTGTCTCTATAGGCCGATTTAAAGTCTCAAAGTCGCTCTCAGAATTATCAAATATGTATGATAAACAATTGTTTGCTTTATTTCTCGTGCTGATATATGTATATATATATATATAATGTAATTAGTTTAGGTAAATACAAACATATTGGTTATTTTTCAAAGGGTAATCAAATTTTAAACTTTATTGGAAAAAGTAACAACTAATAAAATTCGTAAGGCGATACCATATTGAATAATTCAGTTTCTGAAATAGTGTGTTCTCTTTGTTTATTTACCAAAATTTTCCCTCTTTATTAATTTTTTGTCTCTATAGGCCGATTTAAAGTCTCAAAGTCGCTCTCAGAATTATCAAATATGTATGATAAACAATTGTTTGCTTTATTTCTCGTGCTGATATATGTATATATATATATATATATATAATGTAATTAGTTTAGGTAAATACAAACATATTGGTTATTTTTCAAAGGGTAATCAAATTTTAAACTTTAGTTTTAATATATAAATAATTATATATATATATATATATATATATATATATATATATATATTTACCTAAACTAATTACATTATATCTATACCATATAGTTTTGATTAATAGCTGTTAGTTTTCCTGTAGTAAATAAATAAATATTTAATTACGATATGTATGTATTTAACATATATAATCGTAATTAATACTTACCCTTGTAATCGGGGGTTTTGATCTTCCTAATGAGTTTAGGCAGTTCCCAGTTCCACCCCGACTTGTGCGAAGGGCAATACCGTTCCATACATGCTGTCAGCCTTAGAAGAGCCAGCTTCCTCAGTATATGGAGTTGGCCACAGGATAACGATGACATCGGCCGCGATACTAATAAATAGTTCACAAATATACATCTCTGGTGTTGCGCGGGTAACAAACAATAATTAGTGGTAATTTCGTTGGAATTGTACGTAATAGGTATGTGACCTGGCACGAAACAAAGATAGCCTCACAACGCCTGTATAGTAGGCACTTAGGTCTTGCCCAATACGTTCCTGTTTTTAACCTACTTCAAAAAAGAATAGGTTCTCAATTCGAATGTATTTTTTGTGCGATATCTTCGTAGATTGTGAACCAATTTTGATAACTCTTTTTTTATTAAACTGGTAATACTTCAAGGATGGTCCCACATAAATTTGAAGAAAAAATTCCACCCATAGGGGCAGCAAATAAATAACTTCTTTTTTAACAATTTAAAGTCGATTTTTACAGTTTGTGAAAAGTTATAATATTATGTAGTATATCAAGTATTTTAATGTTATGATTTTATACCAATTTTCGTGTTGTAATGTCCTATTTTTTTTAAACGAGCACACATTCCACCTAATGATAACTTAAGAATCAAAATGTAGATGCGTTGTCACCCTTGAGGACTATATGGAATGTTACGTTACCAGTAAAGAGTCTGCAGTTCTCTACACTCACGAAACAAAACAGCATGGTTAAGCTGCTATACGCTGGTGTTATATGAGAGCATGGTCATTCTTCACTCGGGTCAACTCAATTGTCCTGCAGGCAATTATAACCTCATATAGCTGCAACATTATCCTAACTAATAAAAAATTCTAAATTACCAGAAAAATAAAATTTGTAAGAAATCGCATCGTTTTGATTTAAGCTGACGATGCTTCTATGATAAAAGGGAAATTAGTACAATACACAGATATTATTTGATTTCCAGAATTTTGAATTTATATACGATATTTTTACCGTTAAAACTGACGGCTGCGCTTTGGGTAACGATCGTCTTTAATTATACAGTTTTAAACGTAGTTATAATAAAATAGGTTTTTTTATAGGATAGGATGACAACGAGCACACAGTTCACCTGATGGTAAGTGGTTGCTGTGGCCCATAGACGTCCATCCTCGATTACGAATCAAGATGCAGATGCGTTGTCACCCGTGAGGACTAAGATGGAAAGCCTCGTTTCCAGTAAAAGGGACCTCCCGCTCTCTACACTCATACGAAACATAGAAGCGTTAAGTTTCTAATTACACTGTTATTCTGTGAGAGCGTGGTCCTTACCCGGTCGATCCTACCCATTCATGCGAGAACTATACTAGTAATATAGCTGCAGCATGGTTCTACCATACGTCTCATTTTATTTCTACCTAACGGCACAATCTCTCATATTAATGTAACCCCCCAATCTAAAACGGATTTCGCATATCTGTACAATGACTTAAAAATAGTTGATAGGTTATCTTTATATATATATATATATATATATATATATATATATATATATATATATATATATATATATATATATAAATATAATTAATTTGCAAATTGTTAGTGGTTTTATTATGCGCGAGGAGTAAGAGGATTATCAAAGGAAATAAAACCACATACAATTTGCAAATAATTTTTTTTTCACTAAAATTAATTTTTTTAAATATATTTTTTTTTAAATATGTCTATACGCTTGGATACTGATTCTGATAACGCACTTAACGAGAACCACAGGGTTTTTGTTATTTGTTGTATATATAAGAGTACGTAGCAATTGTCTTTATGTACGACAACTTACGGTATGTTTCGGGGTCTTTCTGATTGGGCGTGGGTTGCAGTGTGTTGTTAGCTTTAGGTCCACCGTTCAGCGTGCACGTGCGAAACGAATACCATCTCTGTATGTTGTTTCTGCAAATACAAAAGGAAAAGTTATTACAATTAATAACATTGTTGCAAAAAAAAAACTGTAGATTTAAAGAGGATCTATAGTTATATAATAGTTAACTCCCTCAACATTTCAAAAAGCTTAAGGTATTACAGATTTAAGGTATTACTGTTGTTACGTTTTCTTTGTAGAGAAATGCTTATATAGTATCCAAATATGCGTTTGCATAGTGACCCTAAAATCCTAAAGCCAACCTGAACTCGTTGCAAATCAACACTTAAAAATGTTTTTTTTATAAAACTGAAACATCAAACGAACTTATAGTGTAATGATTGTTTAAATTTACGCGAACACTACACATTGAATAAAACTATTTATACGGATTTTATCGCGTTTAATTATATTTTTTAATACCCGACGTTCCGAGTGCTTTGCAGGTTTACAGCACCCATGGTCACGGGGGAAACTGAGATATTTGACATCCCAAAGTCATGGTTAGCCCGGCTACCTTCAGTTTTTGAATAGTCAAAAACTGAAGGTACCTGACAAACACTGCTCTGCGTTTACCGGGCCCGGTGTGATGTAGCTGTTGGCCAAATGTGTCCACTATTTTCTTTTTCCATAGGTCAGGTATGGAAAACTGCCATAGTATTCGACGACGCAGGGAAATGAGATCTTATCTACATCTAAATCTTATACACATCAAAAGCATTATTGCTTTCGTTGAAGAGGAAGTTGGCCGTTACTAGTGGTCGTTGCGAGTGTAGTTCAAAAAAGGTTGCTCGCTTCAAAGTTAAAGAGTGCTTGCCAGTAAAAAAAAAGTTTATTGGAAACATTTTACGTAAGACGAAATGTTTTCCTTTTCAAATTTAACTATTTCTAATTATAAGAAATATACCGAAACCTTAATGAAAAAAAATTCATGTAATATATTATAACACAATGTCGGGAATATAAAAAAAGTTAAAATAAGTTAATTAAACGCGATAAAATCCGTTTTTATAGTTTTATTCAATCAACTTATAGTCTCCGTGGCGCAGTGGCTTAGCAATGAATGGCTGCGCTGGGGGCCGCGAGTTCGTTTCCCGCACGGAACAAATATTTGTATTGCCTACAAATAATTGTTCCGGGTCTGGATGTTTGTCCTTGTGCAATTTATGTTTGTAAACTGCCTTCACGATACAGGAGAAAATCCTAGTGTGGGGGGTAACGTTTTAAAAAAAAAGTCTATCTGATGGTGAGTGGCTACTGCAGTACACGGAAACCTGTAACCAACTTTAAACAAAAAGGCTACACGTTTTGTCATCTTTGCGGAACAATATGGAATGCCTCACAGTCTATAATTATGCTGGCACTGCATAACCTTCAGACCGGAACACAGTAATGCAAGCACAATTGTTTGGTGAGGAGGTGGAACTACCCAGACGAACTCTTAGCCAGAGAATGAGACCTAGGCCTTATTAAATTATAATCACAAATTTTAAACGTGGTAATGCCATGCTGCAACTATATTAGTAGTGGTAGCACGAATGGGTCGGTTCGATAGGGTAAGGACCACGCCCTCACAGAATACCAGCGTAAAGTAGCAGCTTAACGCTGCTGTGTGTGCGTATGGTGAGTGTAGAGAACCACCCTTTTTACTGGAAAGAGGCATTGCATCTTAGGCCTCACGGGCGACAACGCATTTGCATTTTGATTCCTTATCGAGGATTGATGTAAATGTCTACGTGCCGCAGCAACCACTTACCATCAGGTGGACTGTGTGCTCGTTTGTCACGTTTATCATATAAAAAATTACTATTTGGTAGGTGTCGGCGAAGATCGAACTCGATGTGCTCGCATAAATATTAAACGTAATATGATTTTAACTGCTGCCACGTCTGTCCGTTTATTACTCACTTTTTTGTTTTTAGATCAAGGCTGTCGTCGTCGTCATCCTGATCTCCATCTTGGGATCTAGATCCTGCTGAATTTGGGCTGCTGTCCAACTCCGAACTTCTAGACGCTGACTTATCCCTCTTGAGACTTCTGTCACGGAACCTACAACAATTTTGCATTTAAAAATGTGAAATAAGCACGAAGAAGGCTATGGATGTGTATTGCTACTGTGGATTAACTATCTTTTTTAATAATCAGTAAACATGGATGTTATCATTGTTTCAATAGCAAGGATTTGCTGCCATCGCTGTACCTGATGTCTTACACTTTTGCCGCTGTTTCCTTTTACCTGTTTGGGTATGTGTATCTGTCATATATGAGGTAGAATGTCATTCATCGAATGCCACCAGGTCTTTGTGACTTATTCCACAGTCTCCTCTTACGAAATCCTATAATACTAACCTCCTTTCTCCTTTGCTGGAAGAAAGGTTTTCGAGTCACCGTCTTGTACTGGTAGGCGTAGATGTAGTGATGATCTATAAGAGGTTGATAGATGCAGGTGGCTCAGGACCGTGCTTTGCAGCATTCCTTGAGAGAGTCCTTGCATCTTAGGCCTCACGGTATAGCATCACGGTATAGCAGTGAAATTGTAAAGTGCTGTAATGATGAATGATGACTTACACTGGAAATCAAATTTGAGACGGATAAAAACCACTTGTAACATTCTTTTACACGTTATCATCATCTACTTCTCTACTTACTATTACTAGTCCAATACTAAATAAAGCTCTTTTTAAGCTTTGATCTACAACGTAAAAACTCTGCTGGTGGTATATAAACTTGAAGCTTTAGTCGAGTTATTGTAGTTAGAGTAGTGAAGTTAGTTTAGCTTGAAGCGAATGTGGAAACTGATTTCAAGTGAAATTTTTATTCGAAATTTATAATATCATGATAGCTTTTAACTAACTAATGTAATACGCGATTTAAATGAAAATCTGTTTTCCTTTTCACCGTTTTAATATATAAATACGGTTCCGCTCGTTTAATTAAATACTGACGATTTTTTTTTTAATTTGGGATAAATAAAACTTTTGTTATACAAAAATTAATATACAAAAATTATAGCGGCAGACCAACGTAAAAACGTGGTAGATCCATGCTGCAGTTATATTAGTAGTATAGTTGTGGCACGAATGGGTCAGCCCGACCGGGGAAGGACCACGCTCTCACAGAATACCAGCGTAAAATAGTAGCTTAATGATGTTGTTTCGTATGGTGAGTGTAGAGAACCGGAAATCCTTTTTACTGGAAACTAGGCACTTTATTTAGGTCCTCAGGGGTGAAAACGCATCTGCATTTTGATTCGCAAACGAGGATAGATTTAGGTGTCTATGGGCCACAGCAACCACTTACTATCAGGTGAACTGTGTGCTCGTTTGTCACCCTTTCCTATAAAGAAATAACCTAAAATGGTTTTTTATATATAATATTGCCAAATTTCATCAAAATCCGTTCAGTAGTTTTTACGTGATTGAGCCTCAAACATACGAATATTCAAACATCCTACCAAACTTTCAAGTAATAGGAAAGGATACTATACTATTACCAAACACAAGATTATTTTATTTAGGACAACACTACTGTGTATTGTAACACTTATTATGCTATTGAGTATTATAAATGAAAATTTAAATCACTTGCCTACCTACCTACCGCATTATACATAACTTCTAAAACAAACGAGCATCATTAGTCGAGTGTCCGAGCCGGGTCATTACCATGCGTGTAACATATTCCCCGTGCACTTTCGGTCCATTATATTCGAGAAACAGTCGTTTAGGGTAATGAAGTCTAGTTGGTGTGGCCATTACTCACCCTCAGTAATCGTTCCTTTTCAAAACGGCAAGCAGATATTGTCGCTTGGGGGACCTATTTGTGTTTTTATCTCATGTCTTATCTAATTTACTCTCGGTCTGCTACAAATTAACCTTCGATACGAAGTCGTTTACACCGTTTAGATATGTTAGTGTAGTATTTTCAAAACTAATTTGATTGTAAGGGATTAGAATAGTGAGATGTTTTCAAATTTAACTGTCCAATATATTATCTCTCTTAATGGTACTTCCCAGATTCTAACGTGGTAGAGCCACGCTTCAGCTATATTAAATGTATAGTTGTAACACGAATGGGTCGGCTCGACCGGGGAAGGGCCACGCTCTCACAGAATACCAGCGTAAAATAGCAGCTTAATGCTGCTGTGTTTCGTATGGTGAGTGTAGAGAACTAGAGACCTTTTTTACTTTGAACAAGGCATTATTACATCGTAGTCCTCACAGCTGACAACGCATTTGCATTTTGATACGCAAACGAGGATAGATGTAGATGCCTATGGGCCACATTATCCACTTATCATCAAGAGGACTATGTGCCTGTTGTCACCCTTACCCTATATAAAAGAAAAACTGAAGTTCTTTTCCAAACCAGTGGTAAAATCATAATATACATGTGAATATGACTTTCAATAAATACTGACAAATAAAACAATGTATTAATATTAATCAACACGAAGATAAGAATTCAATTTAGCGCGAAAGGGCTTATCACGGTTAGCCATAGTAGCTAATGGTATTCAATAGATAACAGCTTTGGTCAGCTAATTTTTGCCGCTCTTTTGTTCTTTGAAAATTTCATAATAAAAGTGATTAGTTTTAATCAATTTTATTTATTCTAGAAGTTTAAAAGAAGGTATGCAAATTCAGTTTTTGAACCCAATATTATCTAGATGACCACCATCACGGCTCTGGCATTCTTATAGAGCGGCCTAAAATTTTCCACTACACGCCTGCAGGTTTATTGTGGAATCGTTGCAATTTCCTTGCAGATGTTTTGTTATAATTGAGCCGTCGTCCTAGGATTATTTGCATCTACACGGCTCTTGCGATAGGCCCACGAGAAAAAAATCAGCTGGACTCCAATCTGAGCTTATAGGCGACCAATCAATATGATACCTTCCAGAAGTGACTTTTCTTGGGAACATTTCACGAACTACCCCGAAACTGATGTTTGATGTGCGACAAGTTGTCCCATCTTGTTGGAACCATGTCGTGGAGTTGTACTCATGAAACTTGCAATTATACACTCAAATACTGCCTCAGCATTAGAATGTATCGTTCAGAATTGACATTAACTGCTTTGCCCAGCGCATTGTCAAAGAAATAAGGGCCTATTTATTCCGACCGCGGAAATGGCTGCCCAAACCGTGACTCGTGCACAACGGAGCGGTTTCTGGTATTGTAGTCCAGGCTGTTCTCTACTCTAATAGCAGCAGTTCTGTTTATTTACAGCGCCGTTCGTGTAAAAATGTGCCTCGTCTGAAAATAGTGTGTTATTGAAGCTATGGAACTGCTTGAACATTTCAGGCGTAAAATTGAACCTTCTAACCAAATTATTTTCATTTAATTCTTGGACGAGCTGTATTTTATACAGATGAAGCTTTAAACCTAGACAAAATTCTCAGCAAGGTTGCCTTGCCTTGATGACGTACCATAAAGTACGTACTAATTCATTAACTTCCTGTACTCTTTCTTCGATCTGAACAGTTCACGCACGACCGGGCCGGCGACGTGGAATCGTCGTACCAGTCTCTTCAAAGTTTATTCAATGCCTAGTCAATGGGGCACTTGGATACTGTCTTAAACTGGGCAATTCGTACTCAATTTGAAATAAACGTCTTACATGTATGTACGAACGATTGTTTTCAAAAATGTACGCACTGCTTAAGCGCGCTGTTTACTCATAGCGACTAAAATGGCGTGCACCTAGCGACCTACATCACCCGCGTTCTGTCCCCTCCACGCGTTTACAAGTTATAAAAAAGCAAAAGTAAAATTTACCCCGTTCCAGCCTGCATATTATTTATTTTGCTACTGTACATACTGTGCTGTACAGTGTACAACTAAAAATATATGTATATTTAAATACAGACGTTTAAATTTCACAATTAAATGCACGCTGGTAGTAATCAAATTGATAATAGCAATAAGTGCTGATTGTCGGCGGGGAAGGAAACTTGCGTATTGAATTTGCGTGAAACGGCACGTATAATTATACGATTGTGATGTGATGAAGTTCAAAGGGAATATTTACTAGGTTCCCAAGCTTCGGCAGCAACGGAGAGAGTATACGAACTCGAGCTGGCTAAAAACCCATAGTGGTCACCATCGGCGCAAACGAGAGCCCCGGGTTCTTTGATCAAAACACAACTAGAGGGTATTATCAAAATGACTGGATACCACCTAACGGCTATCGTTCTCCTCGTGGTTGCATTATCGGGTGTTAGGAATGATGACCACCAATCATGTTTTTACGATCCCAGAGGGCCCATTTTCTGTAGAATTATTCTTAACAAGTTCGAGGTTATTGACTTTGTGCTGACCGATTCACGCGCCCTCCGTAGTGAGTTTAGGCAAATACTTCAGTAGTAATTATATTAAGGCTATTAAATTAAGAAAGAATATTCATCTCCAATTCAGCTGTTGTGTGGCATTTAGGATAGTCTAAGTCCCTGGGGAAAATCTTAAAACAGGCTTATATTATATTATAGAAATTGTAAGCTCATGGCATAACAAATAACTTACTTCTGCTCCTTTCCTAGGTTGAGCGAGCTGGTCCTGATTGCTTGACGCCGGTGCGGCGTGTGCGCTGGCGACTTCTGCACCTCGCGCAGGATTTCAGGATCTGGTTTAAGCTCTACAGGTGACGGAGGCTCCACGTATACCTGTAAAAATGTACAGAATATAATACCGAAACACGAGTATATACTCATAAAAAACGATATATTGGCTTAATGGGTAATGTATATTAACAATTTTGTTTTATGTTCTCAGTTAACATCACAGCTGGAGCCATTCAAGTGATGCGTACTAAGTACTAGAAGAGATGCCAGGACTTTTTTTATATGATAGGGTGAAAAACGAGCACACGGTCCACCTGATGGTAAGTGGTTGCTATTGCCACTCAGACATCTACATCTTTTTTCGATTACGAATCATGCTGTGTGCTGCAGAAGTGTTGCTATCCGTGGGGACTAAGACAGAATGCCTTGTTTCCTAAAAGGGTCTCTCACTCTCTACAGTCACCATACGAAACACACAGCAGCGTTAAGTTGCTATTTTAAGCTGGTATTCTGTGAGAGCGTGGTTTTACGAGTCGACCCATTCGTCTTACTACTACTAATGTTGTTTCAGCATGGCTTCACTATGTCGAAAAAACTTGGTTGTTTGCAACACGTGTTAGAGTCAAAGTCAAGTCAAACTTAGTCTGTGCCATAAAAAGCTAAAGGCTATCACGAACTTAGAGGGAATATTGGTAATATTAACAGAATTGGTAGTATTTTTTTAAAAATAATATAACAGAATGATACTAGTATTAGAATTTACATTGCTGACACAAAGTTATCACATAAGGTGTAAATTTATTGCAGTCGGTAATGAAATTGAATGTATTATCTGTTCTGTACAGCTGGCTAATGGTATAAATTATAATAACTGGTATTTCAACGTGATTTATTTGTTGACCCTATTTTATAATAAATCGGTAAGGAAAAAATATGTGTGATATTGTACAGTGATATAAGACATAGTAATCGTTTCTGGCCGAAGTGACCCTGACCTCACTTACTGTTAACTTATCGATACCAAGCATAAAGACAACTATCGTACAACTTAGACCCTTTTCTTGACCTAATACACAATACCATTAACTTAACACCGATCCGACCATTCCCTGTTCCATGTACCTTATCCATATCATATTTTCTATGTTATCCCGAAATTCTATTGCATAACATGGGTCTTTTTCGTTATACGGAGACTTTGCCATGAATGTAAAAAAACTACGATTTTAGCGTGAGTATGGTATCTCTCACGCTGAAATCGTGGTTGCATTCTGCAGGCTTCTGCCATGTTTGGCACTATAGGTTGGTCGATTGAGATAGGATGCGGTCTTTTTTTGCACCCTTGGGGGTTTGCTTCTCGCCGGAAGATTCCAGCGGCGTTGCTAATTCTATCGCTGATGTGGTGCTTTAGGGTATGGAACTTTTGATTCCTTTTTCTGTGGCATCCGTTGGAGGCAGATCTCAACCACGGTTTAGTCGTTCTTGTAAAATAGTATCATGCTATAAACAGGAGTGCTACCGGGCCTGCGCTGACGCATCAACGTCCCGGGATGTAAAAATCAGCGCCCTTAAAAAGAAATATAATTCCGTCTCCAGGTCCTTCAAACGAGTCATTGCTAAGGCAAAGTCAGAGCATATAGGCAGAATTGGTGAGAAACTAGTTCGCCTTACTTCTGGAACCCGTGCATTCTGGCCTCTCGCCAGGGCTGTCCAAGGGAACTTCTGTCAGCCATCCATTCTATCTCTACAGATGGAGGACGACTCGGTGGCCCAAGCCGCAAAGGTAAAAGCCGATCTGTAAGGCTCTTATTTTGGATCCAACTCGACTCTATTAATGTTGGTGTTCCACAAGGCTGCGTGTGATAGCAACATATCATTGCTACGCTGATGACTGCACTGGCGATGCTCTATACCAAGGCCCTGCCAATATTTCTCCGGAAAACTTCGCCGAGTACTGGAACAAACTTATTTCTGAAGTCGAGTCTTTGCTGAACATAGTCTCGGATTGGGGGTGACTAAGACACAAGTTTGCGCGTTAACCGGTAAAAATAACCCCTTTGCCATATCTCCTCAGTTTCAGGGCACTCCCCTTGTTGCCTCAGCCAGTATCGGATTTTTCGGCGTCAATATATTTATTGAGTGGCGTGCAGTTTCGTGCTCACTTGGAAGAGAAGGTCAGTGTGGAATAGTTAACCAGCGGCGATTTTTTGGACCGATACTACTTAGGGACTTTCAAGAAACTTATTATTATCTTATTATTATCACTTTCTATCTTATTATTATCTTGAATCTTTCACGCTGTTTTTTTATTATCATTTTTATTTAAAAATCTTTATTGCACTTAAATTTTACAAATGGCGGACTTTACGAATTCTCTACAAGTCAACCACGAGCTAAACAGAGAAAAAGGTGCCATTAAAACATGAAAATATCTATACGTGAATATAAATATAAAAACATAGATACCATACGTATAAATACATTTATAAATATATATAACTACAAATTACCCAAATAATATACTCTGTTTCTGGTACGTATCGTACGCAATATTTATTTATTTATGCTTTAATGCACAAAAAAGTACATATGGCGGAATGCCATAGGGCATTCTCTCCCAGTCAACCATTAGGCTAAACAGAGATAGACATTATGGAGGCGGTGCAGCAATAATCAAATAGAGAGGATAAAAGAAATATATATATATATATATATATATATATACACAAATAGGTTAGAACAAATATGAAAAATATACGAAAAAGAGAGCTGAGTTAATTTAAACTTGCAACGATTTAATCATATACTTACGGACTTGATTTTTAAAGACGAATTTGTTGGGAGCTTTTTTAATGTCAAGAGGAAGGTCGTTCCAGAGTCTGATGGCCATGAGGGCGAAAGAGTGAGATATATAACCAGTACGGTGTAAAGCAGTGAGCAACTTAAGAATATTTTAATAATACATAATACATAATATTTAAATATTTAAATAATATATAATACATAAATTTCAAAAAAAAAAAGAATTTAATTTATAATATCGAGCCATATATAACCAGACAAATTTTAATAAGAAAGTTAGCTCCTGGAAGAAGAAAGCTGTTCCTCGTTGCCGATCTAAGCTTACTTCTAGTCTTCTCGTCGCCGCTCTAAGCATACTTCTGATATAATATACGGGACGTTGAATGGATAATACCGCCATATGTCGGACGCCATGAGATTATTTTGGGCTTTCAACTGTCGCTGGAAGCCATGAGATCATGTTGAGATTTCAACAGTCACTTTTTACGATATCCACGGAACGAAATTACATGGCACACTACACGGCGTATAATACTATGATGTCTAAGATTATGCAGTGATTGTGGTAATTACGATAACGTTGCTAGATGATGCCGCAGTAAACTGCTTATCATGTTGTGTTGGATTTAAGAAATTTAAAACTTCATTATCATCGTCTCATATATTATATATTTTTGTCCTTAATGCGGCTCACACACATAACCGAAAGATCTTATTAATCATATTGCACAAACGGAATAGCCTAGGAATCCCTCGGGGTTGTACTGATCCTCTTACCTGCTACGATTCGAAAAAAAAAAAATATATAAATATAAATATATATAAACACACGATATATGATAGCACTCGCTAGTTAATTACAAAATGTGACGTGGTTACTAGGTAGTAGAACTCCTTTATACGGTATACACTTCTTATACGGTAGATCCACGCTGCAGCTATATTATGGTTGAAGTACGAATGGGTCGACTCGACCGGGGAAGGACCACGCTCTCACAGAATACCAGCGTAAAATAGCGGCTTAATACTGCTGTGTTTCGTATGGCGAGTGTAGAGATCCGGAGGCCCCTTTTTTACTGAAAACGAGGTATTCCATCTTAGTCTTAGATTCTTAATCGTGGATAAATGTAGATGTCTATGGCCACAGTATCCACTTACCATCAGGTAGACTGTGTGCCCGTTTATCATCCTTATTCTATGAAGAAAAAAAGATTATAAAGAAAAAAATTGGCAGCAGTTCCATGGGCTATAACAGCCACTTTAAAATTGATTGATGTTTCATTTATCAATTTAATATTAAAAAAAAAGTTACCTCTGTTTGATGATGATGAGGGTTGAGCTCCTTATAGTAATTGTGTCTCCAACTAGCTGGTTGGCATTCAGAGTCGCTCAGCGCACTAGAATCATCGCTCTTCAACCCTCTGTTGAAGATCCGTTTCGCTTTCCCCAATTTCGACTTGGAGCTCTTATTGCTTGAACCCATACTCCCGTCGGAAGCGTAACTGGAACTGTCATCACCAAAAGGCGGATGCAGAACGAAGGACTGTTCTAGAGGTGCGATAGGAGATGGGGGCATGATTGTCATTGGGGAGGGTGGCTGTGTTCGAATCGCAGGAGCGTGTGCAGGAGAACTGTGAAAATCGGGGAATGGAAACGCTGAAGGGGATGTCGGGGTCATGTCTATATAATTTAAATCGGGATATTTGTCCTGCTGCACGTCCAGGAAGTGAGGTGAAGAGACGATGACTTCAGTTCGGTTTTGCCGTTTTCTTCGGCGTGTTTTTAGGGATTCCACCCTTCGCAGGAGTGCTTTCGCCCCATCTCGTAGTCTTTCCGAGCCGGTGCGCCGGAACCTTGTACCCGTATCTTCCTCGTCTTCTTTATCACTTGGTAACTGTATCATCGGCTGACCTGGCACTGTTAACCTGTAACAATGTCATTATTACAATTATTCTTCTATTATCTGTTTTTTGAAGTAAAACTTCTTTACGTACGTTTGACTTGGGGAGTAAGCTGGTGAACGCGTGACGAAAGCATTACGAAAAGTGTGATCGGGCGAGGCGAACGGGAGTTGAGGATATAAGCAAGAGAGAGCAGAGCGCGCGCACATTTTCTTTCCCTCTTTATCTCATAGCCAGTTATTTTCGTATTTTTTTTCTTTTTTAACAATTTTATTAATAATTTTATATTTATAAATTATTCATAAAATTGTAATTAAAGTAAATTGATCAAAATATTAATAATAAATAATTTATTTATTTATTATTAATATTTAGTTCAATATATTAAATGTTCTACGTTTAAAGTGAATAAAATTGTAAATTCATTTTAAAGTTCATATTGAATTTTCGGGTGAATAATAACATATTATGGAAGAACGCCGATATTAAATTTAAATATTTGTAGCAAAACGTAAATTACTTAACCGATTTTAATCAAATTTGCAGTCCTGTGCAGTTTGGTCCAACTTGAGAGATAGAATAGTTTTTTGCCCATGAGTGTCCCACAATTTTTTTTTGCGAAATCAAGGATTTTTAAAAGGACATGACAAAGTTGAAAAGGGCAGAACAACGTCTGCTGGCAAGCTACTAGTAGGTACCTATTTACAATAAATAATACGTTGACTTGCACAAAACCCGTAATAAAATGTAAATGTATAAAGTATCTGTGTGTTTTTCGAATTTTTAACTATTAAATATTTCTTTTTCTTTCATTCATTTTTGTGTAATTTGTTTGATACTTTGTTTGTTTATGCGAACAGATTTATTTCGAAATTCGATTTGTCTATAGATTTCAAATATGAATAGAAAAGTGTATGTTAACCCTAAATGAGTTTAGATTTAGCTTCAGTGTAATATCAAATTGTTTAATTAAAAATAAAAATTTGTTTAATTAAAAAATATACAAATGAACTTCGGCCTCAAATACATTATGTTGAATTCTATTTAAAATCACTGCTATCGATCGATAAACCGTTTTAATCAAATAATTAATCTCTCTCTAAGTAAGATATGGCGTTACGTATGCACATTCAAATAAGAACATATACTCGAATCGATAAACTTTCCCCTCTTTTAAATTCATTTGAGAAAATTTTCTTCTATCTCGTATTAACACAGATGAAGTCGCAGGCGCTGCTAGTTAGGTATTAACGATTAATGTTATAATTACAGTCCATTAAAAGATCACAGCTGAACATAGGCGCATAAATTGTCTCACAGATTTTCTGCCACCACTGCAATTTTTATTATTTTATTGTTATTATATAGGAAGACGCTGCTGCCCATCTCCTGGTTGGTTTACTTCTGAGGCCTCTCACGATAGCCACGGGTCGTTATGAGCTTATGAGGTAGTCGATATTCTTACACCGCCAATGCACGGTGATTTAAGTATTAATTACCATATTTATATATAGCAAATTATCGGACCGCCCTGAGCGTTACTAGCGTTTACTTTGATAATTGTTAGATTTCGATCAATAGGAAGACTTCCGAAAAGACAAGAGTAAAAAAGTGCTTACTCGTTTTATGCCTAGTGTCCAGGTGTCAGACAGGGCTGTGTGGCTTCCCCGTGGCTGTTCAACCTATTTATGGACAGTTGTTTGCAAAATTTGAAAGTTGAAGAATGCGGATTAAGAATGGGTGAGTTAACCGTTGCAAATGATGGTTACATTAATGAACGGATCATTAAAAGAAAGGGGTATGAAAGTGAACGCAAGTAAGACGAAGGTTATGGTTTTTGAAAGAGAAGAAAGTAAAACGATTTGTGAAATAAGAATAGAAGGGGAGTTGATCGAGCAAGTAGATGAGTTTGTATATTTGGGCTGCGTATTTAGCAGGGATGGGAGATATGATAAGGATATAGAACGACGAGTGAATGCGGGAAATAGAGTAAATGGGGCCTTGCACTCTATTGTGAAGAGTCAAAATGTGTCGAAAAAGGCACGTATGGCAATTCACAATGCTGTGTTGGTCCCTACTTTAACGTATGGTAGTGAAAGTTGGGTGTGGCAGAAGAAGCACGAGAGTAGAATAATGGCAGTAGAAATGCGGTCGTTAAGGAGTATGTGAGGGCTGAATCTGAATGACAGGGTAAGAAATTGTGTAATAAGAGAAGAGTGTGGTTTGCAAGATGATGTTGTGACCAGGATTAAGAAAGGAATGCTTCGGTGGTTTGGTCATGTGGAAAGAATGAATGAGGAAAGAGTGACAAAGAAAATTTATGGTGCAGAAGTGAATGGCAGAGTCGGAAAGGGACGTCCTAGGCGAAAATTTATCGACCAAATTGGCGATTTATTGAAAACGGGCCAAATTAGGAGTACCCTTAACCGACGAGCATGTATGCGTAGGTGTATGGATGTGAAGGAGGCAAGAGAGGTGTGTCAGGATCGTGCCAAATGGAAGTCTGTAGTCTCTGCCTACCCCTCTGGGTAACAGGCGTGAGTGTTTATGTATATGTCCAATGTCGCTTTGAAAATAAAAAAATCGGAATCATAGATTTAGATGCAGTATCTGAGACAAGGGGATAATCACGTATCACAATAATTTAAGCTTCGAAAACCTACAAAATGTTTGCTTTGAATACGCTTCGAGCTAGCTTGAACAAGATTCGAAACTCACTTAAATGTAGACTAAGTTAAAGAAATGGCGGCCTTGGACGTCGGGAGCCCTGACCAACTATATCTCAGATACATCAGATCTTAGAATATAGTCGAGGACTAAGTTACTCTGAAGTTAAAGATGATTATACTTCAACTACTCTTGTAGTAACTAAGTACAATTACGAAAGTATCTGTTTCAGTCAGACAAAGTTAAATAAGAATTAAAGTATATAAAATAATTTTCAAATAAATTTGATTATACAGCATAAATCCATTCCACTTTAAACAGTTTAATGACAAAGCAATGACTGATGTAATTAAAGGGACTTTTTGTGTTTTTCCAAAGCAACGTTTAACTTCGCAAAAGGTTAAGTATTTAATTGAGTCACAAAGTTTTGAGCACATAAGAATTGCTCGCGACAATCGTGTTAAAGTTTCTTACTTAACAACAATTTGTAACGAATTTTCGCCACTTATCAAAACTGTCATCTGCTTTAATCTTTACTATGAAGCTTCTAGCTTTAAAGTACTAGATCGAAATGTATCCACGTCTTCACTTAGTTTATAGACTTCACATTTATTCATTGCTGTCTTGCAAATATCAACTACTTAACATTGGCGTTCCTCGTAGATTGCTTCTTATTCTTAGAGAGGACATCCTAATAATAATAGTACAAAAAACTGTAGTTGAAAACCCGTCATCTAGCCTAGTAACTAGGTACAAAGTTTTTACATATCTTCGATAAATTTTTCTGATATTATGCAGGTTTGCTCAATATGTTTTCTTTCACAGCGCAGTACGTGATAAATGAGCACTTAAAATTGCATTTGATTAGTTAGTTATTACTTTGTTGCTGGCGGATACCGAACTCGTTTTGCTCGAGTATTATGAAATAAATGCGAGTGCTTATTTATATTTAATATGAGTGTGACAAACGTGCCCACAGGTCGTCCAATGGTGAGCAGACACTGTTTCCCATTGCCATCTACAATCGATTAAGATTCAAAATTCAAATGCATTGTCACCCCTAAAAATAAGATTCCTCACCAGTAAAGAGGGCCTCCGGTTCTGTAAACTCACTATTCGAAACAGCACTACCATGTTTTTTTTAAAACGTTACCTCCACACTATGATTTTCACCTTTACCGTGGGGACAGTTTACAAACATAAATTTCACAAGGACAAACATCCACACCCGGAATAATTACTTGCAGGCCATAAAAATGCTTGTTTTGTGCGGGATTCGAACCCACGGCCTTTAGCGCTGTAACTCATTGCTAAGCTACTGCGCCAGGGAGCCGTGACGGTATTTTATATTGATATTTTGTAGGAGCGCGGTTTTTTCCCGTTCAGTTCTCGTAGGTATAGTTGCACTTTGACTCTTATTAATAGTAGTCTATTATTTTTAAAGTATCTTAAACGAATTTTATAATTAAATTATTACAAAAAATATGTAATGCCATGTATAATATTTTATATGTATCGGAATATGGGGACGCTGTGTTTGAACTACACAAACTAATCCCTCATCTCGCAAGGGATCTGCGCAACAGACTTCGAGTTTCTCTGTATATTCCAAAAGAGAATTGGAAATAAACGTTGATAATGTTATTTGAAATATTAAACTTTCTTTATTTCTACAGTATAACAGTTAATATTTCTATCAATTTTTACTCGACTGCCCTAGACGGAGAGTAATGTCTTTGAGTGTATTTGATAGGATAGGGTGATAAACGAGCACACAGTCGACCTGATGGTAAGTGGTTGTTGCGGCCCATAGACATTTACATCTATCCTCGATTGCAAATCAAAATGCAGATGCGATGTCACCCGTAAGGACCTAAAATGGAGTGCCTCGTTTCCAGTAAAAAGGGTCTCCGGTTCTCTACACTCCACCTAACAAGCCTAAATACACCTAACAAGTCACAAGGAAGACGTTGTTACGTCTTCCTTGAGGGCAACCATTAACGTCGACATGTTAGTTTTTTTTAACATTAAGAATTCTGTTCTGACGAAATGTGGCTCAACGAACTTATTATTGTGAATTCAAAGTCAAAAATATTTAATTTATACTTTCGATTGGTTAAACTCAATCATGATTGGTTATAGGATTAACATGTACTTGTTTCTTATTTTATAGGATAGGGTGACAAACGAGCACATAGGTGGACTACCTGATGTTACGTGGTTGCTGTGGCCCATAGATATTTACAACTACACTCACCATATGAAACGCAGCAGCATTAAGCTGCTATTCTACGCTGGTATTCTGTAAGAGCGTGGTCCTTCCTCTGTCGAGCCGACCCATTTGTGCTACAACTGGG